TAGATCATAATTCATCATAACTATAACAACTATAGAAGTTGAGGAATTTTTATAGCACCACTAACCACACAAGCTAAATATTATGATAACTACCAATTGTTACTACTGTCAATTTGTTTGTTCAACTTGTAAAAACTCTAAGATTCACACAATTCTCTTGCTATTGTCATTCTCATGCACCACAGACTAGTAGTACAGCTAATAGAATTGAAGCAAGAGTGAATGTAGATACATACCAACCCTTCGCTGAAGATGGTACCGTTGGAGGAGTTGTTCCTGAAGGAGGGCAATTTTGTTTTTTTGATGATTCTTGAGAGCAACCTGATGATGTTGAACATTTAGGCAATGAATTGCTTGCCTCATTATACATTCCCTTTGCTGTTAGTATTTTAGTTGCTGCATCCATTCCACTGCAGTAGGCACCATGGATTGTGCCACCATGTTCAATATTGTTAGCTTCACCACTGAAGTACAGTCTTCCTTCTGGCATTGCAAGATTCCGTTTATCATTAATTGTTAGAGTAGTAGGATTATTAGAAAACATGCCAAGGAAAAATTCATCAGTATTCCAGTCATAATACTCAATATCATCATTAGTAATAGTAAGAAGCCTCTCGTCTTGAATGTTATACCATTTGCGTAATACATCAACAACCTCTTCCCTAACCTTATCCTTGCCATTAGATCCAAGATCTGATATCCTTTTTGCTTCATCACCAGTAAGAGTCATGAGTACAATGGGAGGTGACCCAGGGAGTGATGCTCCAATTGGTTGTAGAACTGGATAATACCCACGTTCTGTATTAGTAGCATAAGTATAGCTAGCACTAGTGTCCCAGAAAACATCATCATTGCGAATTTGAAATTTAATAAATATTTTTAAATAGAGGCCCATTTTTGAATTAGTAATAGCTTTCATTTTTTCAGTGCTCAGGCTACCATTGAATTTATTGCTTGCAATCCAATTCTGCAGTACACCAATAGAAAATGTAACGATACCATAATCTCCACACATTCTGCCTTGCCCCATAACCTCAGCACATACACACTCATCATTCCAGTCAATACTAGTCACGACAGTGCTTGTTAATATTTTATTCTGATGATCAAAATTTGCTATGCACTGTAGCACTGAAGCAAACCCTCGTTGATCCGTTACTATGAAGCACTGATCACCGAAATTCATATTATGATTTTTGGCAGTTAACGACACACCGGATTTTTCTGGAGTTGTGGCATATGTGAAATCAAACTCGCTCCATTCAATCAATTGCTTCAAGGCAGAATCTGGATCCCATCCTGCACTAAATAATCCTTCCCTGACAGTGCTTCTTTCAGTGTTTTGTAGTGCTGCATGATACTTATTTAGATAGTCTGTCACAATCACATCGACACTTTCCTTGGCGACAATTTCATAATTCTGTTGTGTGTTTAATTTTCGAAACACAGCTGTGTCTGTGAAACTTCCCTGAAATTCCGGCGTTACCTTCCATTGCATAGCAGCTTTCGGCTTGGTGAGTCAGGGCCCATATTGGATTGATATTAGCCGCATTCGCGTTACTGCTGTCACCGCTAGCCATTTCAGGTGCTTCATGGATCCAGTTTGCACCAACCTCGATCTGAACCCCTTTAAAAGCAATATTTCTTATTCTGCCCCCAATTTTATCATACGCCTCTAGCACTTTAAAACTGTTCAAGTTTTGATCGTTGAGGACCCTAGCTGCCGTCACTCCAGCCGTACCAGCACCAAAAATAAGAACTTCAGCATCTTTTTGAGATGGGCACGTCAAAGAAGATGTGGAAGTTACGAGAACAACAGAAATCAATAGCAAGACAAAAAGAACCATGGCTTTAAGCATAGATAAAGAATTTTAATCGTGAATAATGGCCCGAAATCAAATTTTCACGTATTAAATTTTGGTTTTACTCCCACAGCCCAGGATGCGTGACATAGATATTAGAGTAAATGAGTAAATAGATATTAGAGTAAATGAGTAAATAGATATTAGAGTAAATGAGTAAATAGATATTAGAGTAAATGTTTTTCATTTACTCTAATATCTATGGCCATAGATATTAGAGTACAGAAAATTTCCTGTACTCTAATATTATTATTCTTTTTTTTTCTGGCTGCAACACATGTTGTTGCTGTCCTTCAGTACCCTCTGTCCTTTTTCTCTTGTCTCTGTTTATATTTGTCTTATACTGTTAAGTTCATAATAATAATAATAATAATAATAATCTATGCTATGGCCTTGTAATTGTGCACAGCCCCGGCCCCACCCATAAGAGGTCATGTGAGTTTGGCGGGAAAGTGCTAGCGCGGGAATTAGATGGAGGAGAAAGAGGGCATTATATTGAAACTAGTTCACGGAGAAGGTCCATCAAGAATCACTTTAGATTCTAACAGGTTTAATGGTTAAATTCTTTCTTTTTGGTCACTTTCAACATTCTTCCCTCCCCACCCCCTTTTTTTTCTTTAGACAAATAGCTAGCTGTGGTTTAGACAGTATTAGTGTTGTATTTCATAATGGTGGACTAGAGGAGGACAACTATCAGTTTGATGTGGAGTCCATTGTTGGTGTTGCTGGGGACGTTACTAGCATACTGGACATTGCCTGCTACAACCAGGGGGAGGAGTATATGGTTGCTGTGGCAACTGATGATCACACTGTCCTCTCCTACAGTTATTGCTCTGGTAATGTGAATGATGATCCTTTTGCTGAGGTATGAACAAAGTCTTTATACATGTATGTATATCTTTATACAGTACGTATCTAATGTGGTGTATTGTTAGCAGGATATTTTGGCACTGCTTATTATTGGCAATTCTATGATTATAATATTTACAGTTTTGTGGCCATGTGTCATTTGGAATAAATCAAACTTTTATTTTGGCAATTTTAGCATTTATTTGCCAATCACCAAAATAAAACTTTACCATTTCTTCCTGCTTCATGATAACTAAAGTTAAAATTCAAAGCATTTTATTCTACATTGATCATATTTTGTATAGAGTCAGTTCAAGGCAATATTGGTTAGGTTTACCAGTCAAATTAATACCATTGATGTGAGCAGTGACTCTTCAAGACTGGCAGCTGGTGCAAGGTAATGTACCTGTTCTCTCAATACTGTATTATATAGTAGCTTCATAATTAATTTTTATCAAAGTAATATTTGTCATTAAAATTTTAACAGCATGTGAAGAAAATGCCCAGACAAATTTGATGATATTTACTTATTGTTATCATAATTATCAAGAGTATACTCTTATTTACAATTATAGTGATTTCTTGGTTAAGATGGTTGATTTGACCGATACTAGTAAAATATCAACAATGGAAGGACATGATGCACCAGTACTGTGTGTCAGATTTGATCCTCTTGTTAAATACCTGGTGAGTACATGTGAGAGCATTTTATACATGTACACTTACCTCATCCAATATTTGGTAATAATAATTATAGTACATGTACACATACAATAATAATAATAATAATAATTATTATTATTATTATTATGTATACATTATATGCTAGGCTTCGTCAAGTTGTGATGGTACAGTTAAGATATGGTCAACAGAGAGTAAGGTATGTACACATGTATACTATGATGTACATGTACACCGTGTATAATTGTTTTGTATTATATGTGTGAGGTAAATTGGCGGACTGCCATAACCAGCAGCTGCTACTACAAGTTACAACAAACAAATTGATTTATAATTACTGCTATGGAAAGATTGTAGACTTCTGTTTTATACTACATGTATTTGTATTACTTTTTATGTAATTTTATCGTGATTAAAAAGGCATTTATGTACATTCAAGTATATATGCAGTTACACTGTACATGTACATATTTGTGTGACTGGGTAAAGGGAAGGAGTTACATGTACATGTAGATGTTGTGTTATATTTATTGTTTTGTTTTTAAGGTTATTGTTCATTCAGTTGATGTGTTTCCTAAAGTCAATGATATTATATTTGCCTCAACACTCTGCCGGCTCTCATGGCAACCGGGCCAAGGACAGGTAAACCAACACAATCAAGCTACATGTACATGTACGTGATAATTAGGTTATTGCTGTGCCTGTTGGTAATGGTGTGAGACTGTTAAAGAGAGAGAGCTGGAACTGCATTCAAACAATCAATGAACAAGACGGAAGAAATGAAAAGGTTATAATAGAATCTTTTACATAACAATTGTTACAAATGCATGTTTCTTGATCATTATTATTATTTATTATCGTTTAGTTTGATCATGTGACGTGTTGGTCTCCATGTGGGATGATGTTTGCTGTGGGCAGTTCTGATGGACATATCTCAATATATGGAGGATGGCCTCAACCTTCACTCATATCAAGGTATGATACACACATGTATATTTAAATGATGTACATGTAATACATATACATTAAGTTTCAAGGATACCTATTTTAATCTGTATCCTGAATTAATTTTTGTGATTTTCCACAATTCAGCCATGTTGTACCATTATTCTCATAGAATATGTATTTAACATACACATGTACATGTACGCATGTACATTTACATCTATCAGTCCTCCATTTTATTCTATTCTTCTGCCCCTCTCCCTCTATTAAAGGCACAGTGTTGGGTCTCATGTTGTCTCCTCGTTGTGTTGGGATCCAAAGACTAAAGACTCATCCCATCCTCTTCTCTTCTCCTCTTCATCTGGTCACATTGGGGCCTTACCTCACCACTGGATCTATCCTCAGCAAGAGAAGGAGGGAGGGAAGGGGAGTATAGCTGGAACTAACAATACTGCACCAGCTAACACAGGAAAGGCTCCAGTAGCTGAACCTGATGATCCTTTGTTTGATGATAGTCTTTTATTAGAAGTAATCTTTATCATTTAGTCTGTCATTCATTTACATGTACATGTGTATGGAATTATGTTTGACATCACTGGCATGTACCAAATGTATAATATGTACCTGCATGAATAATTCACCTATTCCCACATGTAAATTTGTATTGTTAGGGTATTATTTTATGTGTACAAAAGTAAATACATGTACATGTAATAATAGCAAGCTTTGGTCAATATGTAAATTGTGATGATCTCCTGTTTCCTTTTTTATATGTACACTGTGAATTCTAGTACCTAATTGGAAAATTTCAGCTTTATTTTGACAATAATTACATGGAATATCTCCTAGTTGTTTTAATCCTACTGTTTTGGAGTAATTGTTGTTCCAAAAATGTAATGCAATAAATTACACATCACTTGACCAATATACAATGTAAATGTACTTCAGAGCTTTTGCTTTACTTTAAAGCAAGAGTAGATGATAGTTAGAGAGAGTGTCAAACTGCACTATGCTAGCTGGAATATGACCGCGTAGAACTAAGTCACGTGAGACCTGAAGCGTGGGTGTACCTACTAAAAGCACGTGTAGAAGTTTGCATAAGGAACAGTGGAGAACACTTGAAGAAGCTTTAGACATCATACTAGTACACTTTATAATCCTGCTGAAGCCTGTTATGCAGTGCAGCTACAGCAAAGACTCCAAAACGGCCAGTAAACCTTGTTGAGAAAACTCGGCAGCCATTTTTTCCTACTCAGCCACACCCAGTATGCGGGAATGCCCAAAGATGCGCTAGAAAGTTCTACGTGGTCATATTCCAGAGCATAGTGCAGTTCGACACTCTCTCTAACTATCATCTACTCTTGCTTAAAGCTACTATTATTTGTGAGTGCTAATTTTTGCCTTTTTGCGAGTGGCTTTAAATCGCAAAATTAGCACTCCCATTTATTAATAAGTTAGGTTTATTACATTTTAAAAAGGGGAAGTTGCAAAAATCAGTACATGCTATATCCCAAATTGCAAATATTTGTCCACTTCAAAATAAGTGGCTTTAAGTGCATGTATTTTACATGCATACATTTACTATACATGTATTCACAATTGTTACATTAGCAATTGTTATTGTTATTGTTGTTATTGTTATTTTTGTTAGCTTTTGTTGTTATTGTTATTATTAGTGTTGTTATTGTTATTAGGGTATACCTCCTGACAGTATATTCAATGATGAAGAAGATGCTCAAGAACTTGCTAACTGTAGACCTGCCCCCTCTCACTCCCCTCCACCCCTCCCTCCTCCTGTCACTACAAGAACAATCAATCAGATTAATGATAAGCGTATCCATGACGATGACAATGAAGTAGCACCGCCCACTAAAAGACGGAATGTTGTATTGAGCGACACTGAAGAGGAGAGACTGGATCCTTTGTCTCCTGTGATATCATCTACTCTTGATACTGGAGTGTTACCTGCTCCTCCTCTTCCTCTTGTTTCCTCTCCTCTCCCTCCTCCTCCCCTTCCTCTTGAACACTATCATGAGATATTCCAACCATCAGCCACTCCCAGTCACCTCACCAATCGCTTCATGGTATACTAATACATGTACATGTACACTAATACATGTACATGCATGTGCATGCATGTACACATATAACACTTATACTCATAATCTGGTCAAAGTACAGGGTCTCAGGCAAGATTTTGCCAAAATTGAAAAGGAGAGAATTCTTCATTTTTAAAATTTTTCCTTATACATAATACATTTTTTATGTTGTGTAGAAAGTTTGAGCAGATTCTGATCAAAATTGGATTTTTATGAATTTTTTAACTGGCTCCAAAATTTGGAGAATTCAATTTTGGTAAAATTTAGTGTGAACCCTACATGTACTTGTACAATCATTTTAGTTGTGTACATGTTGTACATGTGTTCATCATCAATCCTACAATAATATTGAGTGTTGTGCTTCATTATTTTACAGGTCTATAATATGGTGGGTGTGGTCCGTTACCATGATGATGGTTCTTCCCCGATGGTAGAGATTGAGTTCCATGACTCGTCTGTCCATCATCCTCTCTCAATACCCAATCATTATGGCTGGACCATGGGGGCACTCTCCTCAAAGGCTTTAGTGTTAGCTGTGGAGAAGACTGACGAGGAACCAAGGTCTGTCTAGTGGGATGGGATAAAGGATCATTGCATGTGGCCAATAATGAAATATTATTAATACTTGAAAATACTTTAAATTTTTAACTATAACACATGTTTAAGATGTTGCACAATACCTACTATACATTGTACAATGTATAAATTATTAAGTTACTGAAGTTTTCATGTCTATCTCACTACACAATTGAACTAAGTCTAACTGAATGATGGATCATTGCTAATTTTTTTATTTTAATATTTTTAGTCAGTTCCAGTGTACTGTATTCTCCAGCTGGGACCAGAACAAAGATTGGAGCCAACAACTACCTAAAGGAGAAAGCATTGAAGTAAAGGCATAATTGTGTATTATACATTATTAATTATGTGTGTGGGTGTACAGGTGATTGCACTGGGTGATTCATGGGTTGCTGTAGCAACAGATAAGAACTACATCAGGTTATTCTCACTGGGTGGTACCCAGAGGGAGGTCATTAGTATACCAGGAGGACAGGTGGTGAGTCTAGCAGGAAAAGGAGACCAACTTATCATCATATATCAGGAATCTACTAGTATGTGTGTCCGTATGTAATGTACATGTACATGTGTACAATGAAATGTAATGTACCCTCAGATTTAGCTATGGATTATAGTCATAGTCTCAGATTTAAAATTTAAAATCAGTTCAAAATTCTGCATAGCATTTATAGGCATGTGCAATTATTGTGCATACATGTACACAATGTATACATGTACATGTATATCGGAAAATTTAATAAAAATGAGAATTCTACATTGTACGTTATTTTTTGACCAAAATTAATCATACACATATCTTTCAAAAATTTGTGATTGAATTGCCATATTTTTATTATCATCAATTGTATTAATAATTTGTTATTATTTGTGTGTAGAGTCGTCATTGACAGCGTGGGTATTGGATATAGGACAAAGAAGGGAACTATACCCACCACATCACCTACCACTGACACCTCAAGCAAAACTGGAATGGATAGGGTAAGATTTGTCTTTCTTGACATGAATTTTAATTATATCTATCCTCCCAGATTCTCAGAGTGTGGTATTCCCATTTCTTATGATACAAAGGGTATCGTTAGAATGCTTTCTAGTCAGTACGGATTGTCCTGGTTGCCAATTGTGACTGTAGCTCCTCTAAATCAGAAA